GTAGAAATCACAGGGGATGCAAAGAACAGTTACTCATAGATTCAGTCATTCTACGGCAAGCACACAAACAACACAGAAACATACACATGGAATATATAGACTACAGAAAAGCATTTGACAGTGTTCCACACAGTTGGCTGCTACATATTCTACACATGTGCAAAATACATCCATCACTCATTGCATTCTTCCAAAACACTATGCAGCACTGGAGAACAACACTACATCTCAGGGTTAGTAACGCTTCCATACAAACAAACAAAATATTCATTAGGCAAGGAATTTTTCAAGGAGATTCCTTGAGTCCTCTCTGGTTCTGCCTAGCCCTGAACCCATTATCCAACATGTTAATCAACACACAATATGGCTACAATATCAGCCATGAGAAAACAACACAGTTTATGTTGTCACATCTCATGTACTGTACATGGACAACATAAAACTTTATGCATCCACACAAAAATAACTTCAGCAGCTCCTACAAATCACACATTTGTACACCAAGGACATACAAATGGAGTTTGGCTTAGACAAATGCAAAACACTTCACATAGATAAAGGAATCCTGAAGAAAGAAGATTTTGCACTTGAAAATGGGGACGTTGTTGAATCCATGGAAGAGGGAGAGTTCTACAAGTATTTAGGATTCCAACAGGCCAAACTAGCAGAACATACACAAATAAAGCAAAGATTAATTAAAGTAGGTTAAATGCCATTCTCAAAACACAGCTAAATGCAAAACACACAGTTAAAGCAATAAACACATGTCATCCCAGTACTCACATACTCTTTTGGAGTTATACATCGGACTCGCACAGACCTCGAGCAACTCCAAAGGAAAACAAGAACAACACTTACTAAGCATAAACAACAACATCCTAAATCAACCACAGAAAGATTAACCCTTCCACGTAAAGATGGCGGATGTGGCCTGATTGACATAGTTAACCTTCACTACAAACAAATACAGTCACTGCAAGATTTTTTCTACGGGAAACAAGGAACATCACAATTACATAAAGCAGTAACTCTAGCAGACTCAAATAACACACCATTAAACTTACACTCACATCATACAGACTTGACACAACACATAAAAAGCATAGATACCATCAAGCAATCGTGGGCTCGAAAGGCACTCCATGGCAGGCATCCTTATGATCTAGCCCAGAATTTTGTTGACAAAACCGCGTCAAACAGCTGGTTAAATCGGGGATGCCTTTTTGGGGAGACGGAAGGATTCATGATTGCCATACAGGATCAGGTCATAAATACTAAAAACTACAGAAAACACATACTCAAAGATACAACACTCACAAATGACACATGCAGAAAATGTCACATCATGCCAGAAACTATACAACACATCACTTCTGGTTGCAAGCTCTTGGCACAGACAGATTACTTACATAGACACAATCAAGTAGCAAATATAATACACCAAGAGCTTGCAAAGAAACACAAATTGGTAGACATCCACGAACCATACTACAAGTATATTCCACAGACAGTATTGGAAAACAACACGCACAAAATGTACTACGACAGAGCCATAATCACAGATAAAACAATTTACCACAACAGACCAGACATCACACTCATTGACAAACACAATAAAATCACATACATTATAGACATAGCCATTCCAAACACTCACAATGTACAAAACACATGCACTGAAAAAATTAGCAAGTACACAGAACTCGCCGAGGAAATAAGGCATCTGTGGAGGATGGATAGGGTGCTTATTGTACCTGTTGTTCTCTCCTGTACAGGTGTGATACCACACACACTACACAAAAGCCTGGGAACATTACAATTGAGTAGAAATACATACATCACACTACAGAAGGCCACTATATTGAATACATGCCACATTGTTAGGAAATTCCTGAATACAGACACTGACACACTTATTTAATTTTAGTTTTGTTTTGGTTGCTATGCCTTGACTCTGGTCCGGCATAGTACACAGCCACCGGTGTGAACCGAGTAAAATTCACTAAACTCAACATAATAATAATAATAATGGGACTGACCTTTGCTGCAACTTGTATGTAAGTATAAATTTTTAAGACTGATTTTATTATAAGAATACCGACAAGAAGAATTTTGCTACATTCAATCATGTAATACATTTATTTGGTAGTTAAATAGATGCTATTTACATACCTAAGAGGATATTCATCTATGGTCAATGTTTCTATTTTTTCATAAAAAGAAGTAATACATGGACTATTTGACAAGCAGAGTGAAGATGTAGTAAAGTGGATTAACAGTACGTCACTGCATTAAAATGAAACGTTTTGTTGTTAGGCAATAACATCACTGCTAATCAGCTTTACACCTTCACTCTGCTTGTCAAATAGTCTGTGCATTACTTCCTGATGAGAAAATAGAAACATTGACCATAGAGAAATAATCTCTTAAACACATGCTATTTGCATACCTAATTATCAAATAAATGTTAGTACTAAGTATTATATGACTTGCATGTAGTTACATTCGCCTTGTGAGTGTAAAATCTGTCGACATTAAAATTATTTAGTATGATCTTCTGACTAACATTTGATCAGATTTAAACATTTTTTGTTTAACAGTTGGTTACCCACTAAACCTAACATAATAATAATAATTAGAAATTATTACAATCACCAGAGTATTCTACATAACTGCTGTTTTTCTTTCACTAAAGATTTGGTTAGGAAAAAATAAATTAAAAATAATAACAATTTGTGTAAAAATTCATTTTAACATGCATCATTTTTCTTTGTTTTTGTTTTTTACTCTTTCTGCTTTACAGACACTAAGAGGGTGCATCATTTTTCTTGAAGACACAAGGACAGTTACATTGAAATTAAAATCAAACCAGTATTTAAAATCTATTTTAGTAATATATATTTTATAAATGTTAGAGAAAATATACTTTTTTTTCTATAATTTGATAAACAAACTTAAATATTTGAAAAAAATTTTATAAATCTTACCTTTCAGCCAATCCATCTTCAGTCAAACCAGATATAGTGATTGGTTCAAATGGTTCTTCTGATCCAGATATAGTAATTCCCAGAGGTCCACCATGTCTTACTAATTCTACTGTATATACTATATTTCCTGAGCTGTTTGGATCTTCTGAAATTTTGGTAAATTAAAATTAATTTTAAAAGAAACTTAAAATATTTTCTTAAATTTATCAATATATTTACCTGAGAAAGAATCATCTTTCTGAACTCTTAATTTAACAATATTATCACAGTTCTGAAGAATTTGTGCAGCATCTTCAAAGCTACAGTTATCCATTGAAACAGAATCTATTGCAAGTAATTTGTCTCCTGGTTGTAATGTTCCTATTCTGTGTGCAGAGCTTCCCTTTTTAATGTCTGATATAACTGGCAAATTTCCAGATTGGCGATTTTTTGGTGCTGTCAAGATTTTTAAAAATTTACTTACTTGGAACAGCATTTTGTAATTATGATTTCAAGATTTAGTACTTACTAGCAATAGTTATACCCAACCCAGATCCTTTCTTTGCTAGTTTTACAGTAAATGTTCCACTACTAGGTACAACAGATTCAGCAACATCAAATTCTATATCCAATGTGACACGGGGATGAGATTGTTGAATGAGATGCATTACTTCATCTGTAGTCATGCCTTTTGTGCATTTATTATTGACTGCCAATACACGATCTCCTACTTGAATAACTCCAGTTCTATGAAAATATTAAAACATTTTATAAATTTGAAAGTTTAAAATTTTATATATCTGTAGCATTTTGTATCAAGTATATGTTACAACACAAAACAATTTCAATTTTGAAAATAGATGAAAAAGAAAGAGCTACAACTTTATGTAAGAATTTTATATAAATAAAATTTTAATATTAAGAACAATCAGAAGCTGCTATAAAAAATTTGATAAAATCAATCATAATCAATACAAATTTCCCATTTGTATTGAGAAATTTATAAATCATATTTTATAAATTTCTCAATACAAATGAGAAACTATTGTAATCATATGATCACTTTTTTTTTTTTAACAATTTACTATTATCTAAAAAATATGCAAGTGATATGATAAGAGTCAAATGACATGATGTAATAAATAAATTTACTCTTTATGTGGTTCATTCCTGATTAGCCAACACCTGTTTATCCACAATGAACAGTAGAAGAATACTTTGTTGAGAAAGACAAAATAATGCATTACAGTACAGTTTGTTTTATAAATCTCAACCAAGCAACACAAGGAGATCTAGAATTTTTAAAGAATTTGATCTGGTGACTTCTAACAATAAAAATTTTTTAAATAATTAAAGAAATTTTAATTGTAATTGTTACATTCTTTTTTTTTTCACTTATAATCATATTGATCAATGTGGTTTTATTGTTTTGTCTGAAGACGTGTTCTGTTATGTGACCAGCTCTTTTGTCTGGATGGGCATTGTTATAGTTAAGGTAATCTATAAACCCTCCGAGGCTCGATGACAACCAAAGAACCTGGATCAAGGAGGAATATTGCACATGCTCAAGAGAAGAAGCAGGACTTTTTGAAAGGAAAGAGGAGGAGAAAAGATGCATAGATGAGAGAGTCATGAGTTTGTTTCCTTTTAGTATTGTTTCCTTTGTCTTAGTGTCTGTTGTAGCAAATGGACAGAGAAGTGATCGAAAGGACTAAAATAAACTTTAAGTTCCTTGCATTGCAGTCATAGAAAGCATGATTTATTTCTTCTAAGTTCTTTTTTTTTTCCTTTGTTTCTGCAAGAGGAACACTAAAGATCAAGCATTTCCCCACAGTATAAATTAAAATTAAAAGTTCAATGTTTTAAGCACATGTAACATAAAAATAGAGTACAGAAATGTGTTTACCTTAATTCAGTTCATTTAATAGTTTACCAAACATTCCATATTATCCAAGGCATCCTCAGTCTACATTGCCTCAGATACTATGTATATATTCTCAATACATCTATTTATTCACAATTAAAGTTTACTTGGTAAGAGGAAAAAAAAATTACATAATTATTAGCTGTTTAAGAAAAATTTACCGCTGAAAGAATTACATATCTGTTTTTTTTTTTTACATATTTTAGAATGCATACATTCATAATAAATCAATACTAAAATTTATTAAAATTTAAGATTTGAACATTCAAAAAAGTTATGGCCATATTTAATGATTCAATAAAAAAACACCTCCTATAACTTAAATACTTATTTTCTATTTTAAAAAAACCATCAAAATGTTTTTTGTATAGACTGAATATTATGACATGAATTTTACATAGCAAATAGATAGGAATAGAAGGAATATAGCTAAATAATTATGATTTTATAATTATCAAAACCAACTTTTCAGCCATCCCGCCAGGATCAACACTGCAAATTACTGGAGGAGACGTCAATAATTCAGTAGCAAATGCAGAGCTACGCAGAGAAAAGCCAAATCCACAATAGTCAGCACATAAAGTGACTTGGGTTGTATCAGTATGGCATACCTGTCCACTAACACCAGCTAAAACAAGAGATGCTAAAATAAGAAATATGCATTTATTAGTTATATACATTTTTGCACATTTTTTATAATAGTAAACAAGTAAATAATTTTCTGCAACAATGTCAAGTATCTTATAAACAAGTATCTTATAAATTATCATCAAGCTATTTAATTTGTACTGCATTATTCTATTTGGATTTAGTAGTATCAAACCAAGATTGTTACCAATATATAAATAGTATGAAACAAAAATTTACAATATAGCAAACTGGCAAATGTGCTTCATTAGGCCACATTTCCACAGGTGAGAAAACCTCTGCAAGTATTGTCTGACAGACTGTCAGATAGCCAAGTTGCTTGTGTATATGGTACTGCAACAGTTTTCAAGCACTTGCTGTGAGCGCAATAAATTACGAGTGTACACAGAATCATGTCAATGTCCAACAGATCTCACAAGTAAGGATTAGTTCTGAATTTCTTGTATTGAATACTATACAACCAACAAAATAAACTATTGCTGCTAGTGTAGCAATAATTAGTTTGTTGGTTTGAATATTTTTACAAGATAATGGAAGGCACAAGAATGGTCCTGTGACAACATTAAAAAGCTAACAGAACTTTACGAATGTTTGTAAATGCTTATGGTATTGCTGAAATATACCTAGATTATAAAAAATATGAAAAAACACTGTATTTACTAGCATTGTAAGAAAATTTTCACAACTATCCAAGAAGTGCACAACTTAAGGAGCCTATAAAAGAATGAATTGAAAAAAATCAAAATTAAGAAAAGTAGCAATGGGAGGGATGAATTAATTGTTTGAAATTTTTTCTGAAATTATCTTTATATTTTAAGCAAATTCAATAGAGAAATGAAGACAATTAGGCCTAAATATGCTTACCCAATGCCATAAATCATAGCATTAAGATGAATCTTTCCATTGGTGTTATAGAATCTTGTATATAATTATCTTGCTTTTTAATAACATATCCAACTTTTTGTAGCAAAATCTTGAAATCTACCACAAATGAAATTGAAAAACTAGTGGAAGTCTTGTATTTGCAGTTCTGTAACTAAATTGTTAAAACAACTGAATTTTGTTTGCTTCAAAATCCATTATTGGACCCAAATGGACCTCTTTTTATTTAAAAATAATGCTAATATTGCAGCTACTATTCATTCACGTCTATATGGCATGGTTTCAATGTATGAAAAATGAAATTGTGATAGTTCTTGCGACATCTTGAACTATCCTGTATATACAACACTGCAAAAACTTATGACAGTATCTTTTGACAGTTATTGCTGACAATATTGCAGCAATTTACTCATTAGTGTAAACAGTATTGAAAGTAACTTTTGCAAGACTTCCTAGAGTTTTCTCACCTGTGGAAACATAGAACAGTATTCTTGTCATCATCTCTCATCTTTCGTCTCTCACAAGCCAGTCGCTGATTGGCTAATCATTTGTTTATGTCTAGAGAAATCATTGCGTCTCTCCAAATGCGATTCTGGACAACTTTTTCTCTTGACGATTCTTTCGTTTGTCAGAGATGAGCGGATAGTTGTCTTTTGTCTTAATTTTGTTATATCCAATATGGACGACTGGATGCTACTCGTGCTGTACAATTATATTAGAGAACGTTCTCTATCTCAGAAAAGAATATTTTGAGAGAGAAAATGCTTCCGATTTTTTTCCAGTGCCTACTCGGAAACGCCACTGATTCCATTTTTTTTTTTGTTTTAATTATCCTACATCAATTACTGAACTATCAAATATGATATTAATCTTAGATAGTTAAGGAGAAATTAGATGGTAATATTTTGAAAAATATCTAGGTACGCACACTTTTCTAACTTAGGTTATTAAACTTTTTATTTGTTAAGAGACAAATTGACATTACAATCTGTAAAAACATTATAAAACAAAAAACATACATTCATCAAAATTATGTGCTTTATCTGAACATATACTATCCTTGCTACGTGATCTATGATTACATACTTTGCATTTTCGAAAATTTTACAATTTCATTAGTTAAAATTCTATACTGTGTTGTGCACGCAGATAACCCAAACATGTATAATCATCATCATCAATGAAGACGAGATCGTTAAAAGTGACCAGAATTGCCACTGTTTCTGAGAGATGAATTTCGTCTCTTGTTTTGATGTCATTCATCATTGAAAGAAGAGACAAGAGATAAGTGACCAGAATACAGCCCATGGTCTTATAGCTTTCAGCTAACATATAACAATTAAATATTTGCATATACTGACAGATTTACCAATGACAATAGTAGTAATAGAGAATAATCACTATGCTATAGTTTATCATGATATTTAAATTCAAAATAAAATAAAAATTTACCATTTGAAACACACGATAATGGAAGTGAAGATTGTGTATTATCGTTACATCCAGACCACTTTCTTGTAGAATGGAATGGTTGATTAGACAAATATGATGAAAAAGATTGTCTACCAAATGATGATAAAGTATTGAAACTAGACACACTTGGCATATAAGAAGGCACAGGCGGCATTAATGCACCTAAAATAATAAGTTATTATTGAAACATTTTTGTATTTGTTTAATTAATGGTGAATAATAATAAATACCTCTTCGAACATTTACATCTGGAACACGTTTAATTGCTATTTGTCTTGCCGGTAAAATTTCCAGTTTAACCATGTCATTTACATTTACTTTCAACAATTGCATTGCTTCAGCTGGAGTCATTTGATCTACTTTTGTACCATCTATGGAAAGAATATGATCTCCTACATGCAATGCACCACATCTAAATGGAAAATGATGTGACAATTATAACCAATCAGAAAATTTTAATAATTTCATTTTGCATCAGCATGATAATTCTGCATTGTATGAAACTTTTATTAACTACTTAAAAATAAAGTAATTATATCAAACAATTTACGAGTGCCAATGAATTTAAAACAAAAAGACTGGAGGATTATCTTAATATTCTGCCAACTGACTGAATTCAGCTTGTAATTCAATATGAATTTGGGAGTATTTTGATGTCAGCATTGAAAACAAAAGAAGACAAGTATCAGATTTAAAGTTCTGATTATTTTTGAGTGTTAAAAAAATAGTGTAGCACACTCCAAAATATTACTTTTCCAGTTATTATATCAATAGAATTATTATAGAATATAACATAGAGAAAGTTTCATAAACAGTCAAATTTTGGGATTGGATGAACCAAAACTTTTGAAACTCAGCGGAGTTATTTTTATATATGGAGCACTGATGCTGTTAAGTTTTGGTTATTGAAAATTGAGAGATTTGGGAGATAGAGAAGAGATCATGGTCATATCTCAAGTGGGATCAAACTTAATGAAAAGTTTACTTGTTAATGACATTTACAATTTTTATTTAATTGTAAATACCAATAATGAATAATTCCTATACCAAAAATAAAACTTTTGAATTTTTATAGTAATTAAAAATATAAAAATTATTCTTTTAATAACATTTTTTAACGGATGTCACCACACAATTTGTTTAAACTTAAATATTCTTTTTTAATAGAAAAATTTTCCATAATTTAAAAAAATTACTCATTTTAAGCTATTATTATTTAAATTTTATCTTAGTACAAGTGAAAATTACCAGACTTTTTTCCAGTCCCCTTAACCTTCCACTCATTTATTTACAGAATATTAAAGAATTACAACAATATTCTTTTAGACACTTTATATAGTTAATGAAATCTTCATAAAGAAAAAGAAACATGTTTCAAATTTGAAACAATCAGTGTTTAAATTTGAATTTTTAATTCTAAATACATTGCTACGTATTTTAAATTTTTTTGAAAATTTACCTTTCTGCAATGCTCGCTTGTTTAATACTTTCAATGACCATTTTATTTTCAGGCTTTGGCAATCTTGTTAATGTAATTCCTAAATTAGAACCAGGTGTTTTGTCTATTTCAACTAGTAATGGACCAGATGCATTATTAACAGCATCTAAAAAAGTACAACACAACTTATTTTAAAATAAATCTTTTTAAAAAAGTTAACTAATAATTGAAATTTAAAACTAACCTAAAATAGACACATCATATTCAAGGGTGAATAATGCCTCCCTGGTAACCTGTTTCAAGATACTCATGGCTTCTTGTAGAGTTGCCAGAGTTAAATTAAAACTATCGACTGCAAGTAAACGGTCTCCTGCCTTAATGGTCCCTTCTCTTTAATTCAAAATTATATTTTATTTCTCTTATTACAAATTTTATTAGGATACAAACTGAGAAACAAACCTGTCTGCTGGTCCTCCAAATCGAACATTCGTAATTGTTAGAGGTCTAGATTTTAACCTGTCCAAGCATGCTCCACCACGAAGAGTAAATCCGAAACTACCGGTTTCTTTTTCTAATTTAATTTGAATTACTTTTGGGCAGACACAGGGCGATGATTCAGCATCTGAAAATCAAAGGCAAAATTTTGCCTTTGTAACACATATACTATGAACATTATCAGACTAATAATTTACATAGCTCTGAAAATTGGCTTACATGAAGTAGGTATTTCATACTCCACTTCTAAAGTAACTTTTTCCTCTGCATTTTTTAATAAATTTACAATTTCATCATGTTTCAGTTTATTTGTCCGAATGCCATTTATTGACACAATATAGTCTCCAACGGCCAGCGCATCACACCTATTAAAATTTTTCCCAGCAAAAAAATAATTATTATATTCTGTGACCAAACAATTTATAAAACTATGCAAGACACATAATGATATATTAAAATTCATTTCAAATTATTTTATAAAAAAACAATACAAACAAATTTAACAATCTTTATAAAGAAATTTATTATTGACTTTTGTAAAATGTAAATGTATTAAATAAAATAACATAATCAAATTACCATTAATAACAATTTTATTTTATACTATTTGCATACAATAAAATAGTTATTAATGGTAATTTGATTACATTATTTTATTTAATACATAATTCATGTATAATAATTTATAAATATATATAATCATAACTATAAACTTTGTTTTTGCAATATCTATGTGTATCTCTTATAAACACACAAATTATAATTATTTAAATCTAAAATATATCCTAAATTTAAAAAAAATAGTTGTTAGGAAAAAAGCTGGACAATAATTACCAGTACTATAAATATAACTTAAAATCTTTATTTTTTGATAAATTCTTTTATCAAAAAATTTGAAATTAAGTATTATTTCAATTAAATTTTCATTACATAAAGACTTTTGAGGCCTGGCAAAGAACATCCTAAATTTAAAAAGAATCTCAGATCTAAGCACATAACTAAGTTTAGAAATATTTGAAAAAGTGCATCTTAAATATGAATATATTCAATCATTTTAGTGATACTGAGGAGAACAACATTAAAATTTTGTAGTTACAATTTAACAGAAACTATGTTAAAAGAAATAAAAATACTTCTTTTTGTAATTAAATAGAACTAGAATTTTCATCCTTATGTTAAAACTTTCCCACAATAAATGTTTCATTAAAAAAATAGTTTATTAAATACGAAGGATGTTTACACATTTTTAGAACACATGTTTTAATTCAGATTTGATAAAGCCATTTTATATTTTAACATTAAAATAAAAAGTTATTTTCAATTATAAATTTTAAATAAATGGTAATTGTTTTCTTTGCATTGTTTTTACTTTGAGAATGGACATAACAATTCATATACAGCAATTTATTTAAATAATTTATAAAATCTTTGTTAAAAATTTTTTTGATGTAGAAATTAACAATTCTTAATTTAAAAATGTCTTTTAATATTTTTCTCAAATAGTAGTATTCTTATTTCTAATCTCTATGTTATGATAATGGTGTCTCAAAACAAACTTATTACTATTTAATAAAACTTAAGGTTTTAATATTGAATTAATGACTCTCGAAACAAGAAATATTTTAATAAGTATTGATGTTATTGTAAAATAAACAATATTAATTTTTAAAAATTAACTTTAAAAGACTGAGATAAATAAATTTGTTGGAGTTCTATAAACATTTTCAGCCATCAGAAATCAAAAATGACTTTAGACTGAAGAGACTAATGGTCATTTACAAATATTTTAAGAAAGAACAGACAAGTTTCCCATGCAGACAATCTGTTTATAATTTTAATTAAATAATATTTTTACAAAACATTTATTTGCTTTCACTTTATAAAATTTATGAAATTAAAAGACATTCTAACCTGTGGGCAATACTTCCTGGTCTTAAGTTAGATATGTGTGGATGGCAGCCTTTATCTATGCCACCTGAAAAATTTATATATATCATATAATATATCAGTAAAATAACTGAATTTTAAATATAATATACCATTGGACTATATTTACCAGATATTGTTAAACCTAAAGTATGGCCTTCTTTCACCAATTCGACTATCGATGTTCCTCTTTTCTCTTCTAAATGAAAAAAAGTATCAATCAAAACAATACTTTGTGCTTATATTACATTTGGGATTAAATTCCTAAATACCTTAATGTATTGATCAAGTATAAACCATATTCCACAAACATTTGAACATATCAAACAACAATGCAGAACAGACACACACAATTCATTGACAATACCCAAACAGTAGTCACTCGTGAAGATAAACAGCAATAAACCAATGCACCATTCAAAAAAATAACACGACAATCACAGACACTATAGACACAAAATTAATTTTAACACACAAATTTATTCCTAGAAACAGCAAAGATATAGAAACTTATTCTATTGGAAGCAATAGTGCTTGCAATATGCAAAGAACTCAATTAGAAATGCTAGTACATCAGCCAATTAGGCATGGGATAGCTGTTCTGACATCAGATACATACTACCACTTTATTGGCTATCAAAAGCAGTTAGTCTTAGCAGCAGCAACAAACATTCAACATGTCGTAATTTTTCTTAGTGGTGTGGCAAGTCACTACAGTGATGTTTTATGGGATTATTTCTATAATAATTGCTGCCACCATTTGTTGTTGCTGTTGGAAATATACAAGTGGAATCAAGACATTCACTAATGCATAAGTGAAAAAATAGCAGTGTCAAAAAACTACTTTTAAAACCTTTTTGCTGGAATAAATATATTGTATTACAATGGAATATATATAAATTCCGAAGTTATATACAGTAGAGTCCTGCACAACACGCAAATAAAGCAAGCAACATCCTCGAATTTTGTTGATCAGAGGTATACGTTTTTTTCAACTAATAGGCCAAAGTTTAAACTTTCATAAATTGTGTGATAATGCAGGTTTTGATAACACGATTTCCTATAATGCGTAACGAATCCCCCACATTGTACAGGACTCTGATAAAAAATCGGTAGAAAGGAAGATTGATGCAATTTAAATTAAAACAGTGTATCAACATTGACAGTTAATGAAAAATTATTAATTTTTTTATTTTGAATTTGTTATGCTACAAGATTTTCAATCCTGTATAGACAGATAGATGAATGACAGTGAAAGGTTATCTTGTTGTATTTGTTGTTTGTAATTTTGTTCCAGATCTGGTAATAAAGTGAATATGCACTTAAACATAAAACTACATTTAATTTTAAAGCAGTAACTCTCTACACCAGGGATTTTTTTTTTCATTCTTGATTCTTCCAGTCCTGTGAGTATTAAGGGAACCTTTTAATCATACCCATCATAGTTTTTACCAGTAAGGGATGGGACCAGACATATCTAGGACAGACTACCCCATGAAAAATTCTTGGGGTTTTTTGATGATCTAGATTTGATCCCTGAGCCCAGAGTGATAGGCCTTAAACACTTCGGCCATCTGGCTGTCCCTGTACACAATGCTAGAATATAGTAATGGGAAAATAAAAACATGACGACAATGTTTCTTTTCTAAGTTTATGAAGAAACAACTAATTCTCATTTTATCAAACACCTGACTACCTGAAGTTCAAATTCCCAACTTCTTTTCTTATATCAGATCATACTATGTAATCGTTATGGAGACATCAATAGTTTAAATTCATTTCATTTTTTACAAATAAATGGCCAACTCTTTAAAATATCAACAATCTTGTTTTAATTTACTAATATTTTAATTTTTTATATATAAAATTTATAATTGTTATTCTGAAATGTAAGGATAACCAGAAACTTGAAAAGCACACTCCAGAAATAATGGTATGTTGGGTTGCAATGCCTCTGGAAATTATAATTTGGCATACAGGTTAAAGTCTAGCAACCCAACCCATTTCTCAGAGAACAGTGAATATGTATCACCTGAAAGAACTAAGCTTTACTGATCAGTTATAAAATTTAGCAAAATTTCCCTTTTATACTGATCAGAAGACCCTGGTTTTTGCTCTCTGGCATCAATTACACAGCTCACTCAATGTCACATTGAAGTGTTTCATCTAATGTATTGTTTTTTTTTACATTTCAGGATCTGGTTACTTTAGCCTTTTCTAATCTGTATCCAACACTTTGGCATCACGTGACTACATGGCTACTTTCAATATTGATACAAATGTCACAAATATAACATCCAAGAAAAAAAAAGCTATTTCACGACATCTTTGTATTTTCCAATTTTTTGGAAATACATTTCTTCCAAATAACCAAAGCCAATGCTGCTAATTAAACTTTCTAGACATCAAACAAAAATTTCTCATGCATCTGCCATTTTATAAAATTCAACATATGCATCTGTTTTACTTTTGATGATTACCAAACCACAACACAAGCAACAGGAAAAGAACTTACAAAGCAGATCAATCAATCACACCAAATTACACTTCAACGACACATAATCGATGTGGATGGTCACGTTTGAACACACGGTGTAAAATAATGATAATTTTGTGAAGTGAAATAAATAACTTCACTTTACAAACTTATGGTTTTATTATTGTAGCACCATATTTTCACCTAGTAGTGAAATTCTGAACTAATTTTTGTTTCCCAAAGCCTCACCATGGCACAAATAACATATCCCAAGTTTCATCAGCATACATCTATTAGAGTCAGCCCGAGTAGGCTCTAAATAGAGTCTTTTTAATTATAACCATTCCATACTTGTATCTTTGATAGAACCTTAGAATATAGAACATAGTACCATGCCTAGCCGACGGCAGTTAACTCTCGACTAACAGGAAGCGGTCCTACAGACCATTAAGGAATTTAATTTTTCTACAAGTCTTTCCTGTTAGTAGAGAAAATCTTCTGTCCCTGTACCTTTAAATGAACTTACAGTCCGCCAGTTTAAAAGCAAAGCTTGCGATAATCCATAATAGTATTCATTTTATTCTAGTTTGTATTCACAAACAGTCTCCGAGACCACCGTAAGTAACATTACTAGATTTTCTCAATTGTACGACTTAGCCATGCAAAAAAAAATGTGCAAAGACTGCGTACACAGTTAAAACATAAAAATAATTTATTTTGTATAAATAATGCATACTCCTAAAGAAAAGGAAAGGAAAAAAGAATTAATTATTCTGACAATATTAGTCCAGATTAAACTGAATTTTGTTCTAATCAATAACAAAAGAAATAAAGTTTATTTCTGAATCGACTAATGTATATTCTTATCTTTCAAATCGAATAAATTCTTAATTACAGACGATGTAAGCTAAATGCAAATTAAACTAGGCAGCTCCGAGACGCATCACGTTACTTGTAAGAAAAAACATTATCAAGTTAATGGTTAATTATTAATCACGGAAATATAAAAACAAGTCCTTTATAAAGATCAATCCGACGACGCTACCGAATTACATTTATAATCTCATAAAATCGAAAATAAATAAATTTCTTATTAGTATAAACAACAAAGCAATTTTTCCCTCTAAAAATAACTATCCATAAATAACTGCCCTTTACAACTTTCCGGTGGTAGTTACGAACGCAAAACTACGACAAAATAACGTTTTAAGTAATCACCACGTCAAATTGCAAGTTAAACAAGAATTATTCGCCACAACAGACCCAGTCGAACGATACGGATAGTCATAAGTTACAAAGTTCAAAAAAAACTAACTTACCACTGACGAATCCCATCCTATCGATCGCCAGCGCTTCCGAAGTATCTCGTCCGTAGGAATTATCTTTAAAAAAGAAAATATATATANTGGAGACATCAATAGTTTAAATTCATTTCATTTTTTACAAATAAATGGCCAACTCTTTAAAATATCAACAATCTTGTTTTAATTTACTAATATTTTAATTTTTTATATATAAAATTTATAATTGTTATTCTGAAATGTAAGGATAACCAGAAACTTGAAAAGCACACTCCAGAAATAATGGTATGTTGGGTTGCAATGCCTCTGGAAATTATAATTTGGCATACAGGTTAAAGTCTAGCAACCCAACCCATTTCTCAGAGAACAGTGAATATGTATCACCTGAAAGAACTAAGCTTTACTGATCAGTTATAAAATTTAGCAAAATTTCCCTTTTATACTGATCAGAAGACCCTGGTTTTTGCTCTCTGGCATCAATTACACAGCTCACTCAATGTCACATTGAAGTGTTTCATCTAATGTATTGTTTTTTTTTACATTTCAGGATCTGGTTACTTTAGCCTTTTCTAATCTGTATCCAACACTTTGGCATCACGTGACTACATGGCTACTTTCAATATTGATACAAATGTCACAAATATAACATCCAAGAAAAAAAAAGCTATTTCACGACATCTTTGTATTTTCCAATTTTTTGGAAATACATTTCTTCCAAATAACCAAAGCCAATGCTGCTAATTAAACTTTCTAGACATCAAACAAAAATTTCTCATGCATCTGCCATTTTATAAAATTCAACATATGCATCTGTTTTACTTTTGATGATTACCAAACCACAACACAAGCAACAGGAAAAGAACTTACAAAGCAGATCAATCAATCACACCAAATTACACTTCAACGACACATAATCGATGTGGATGGTCACGTTTGAACACACGGTGTAAAATAATGATAATTTTGTGAAGTGAAATAAATAACTTCACTTTACAAACTTATGGTTTTATTATTGTAGCACCATATTTTCACCTAGTAGTGAAATTCTGAACTAATTTTTGTTTCCCAAAGCCTCACCATGGCACAAATAACATATCCCAAGTTTCATCAGCATACATCTATTAGAGTCAGCCCGAGTAGGCTCTAAATAGAGTCTTTTTAATTATAACCATTCCATACTTGTATCTTTGATAGAACCTTAGAATATAGAACATAGTACCATGCCTAGCCGACGGCAGTTAACTCTCGACTAACAGGAAGCGGTCCTACAGACCATTAAGGAATTTAATTTTTCTACAAGTCTTTCCTGTTAGTAGAGAAAATCTTCTGTCCCTGTACCTTTAAATGAACTTACAGTCCGCCAGTTTAAAAGCAAAGCTTGCGATAATCCATAATAGTATTCATTTTATTCTAGTTTGTATTCACAAACAGTCTCCGAGACCACCGTAAGTAACATTACTAGATTTTCTCAATTGTACGACTTAGCCATGCAAAAAAAAATGTGCAAAGACTGCGTACACAGTTAAAACATAAAAATAATTTATTTTGTATAAATAATGCATACTCCTAAAGAAAAGGAAAGGAAAAAAGAATTAATTATTCTGACAATATTAGTCCAGATTAAACTGAATTTTGTTCTAATCAATAACAAAAGAAATAAAGTTTATTTCTGAATCGACTAATGTATATTCTTATCTTTCAAATCGAATAAATTCTTAATTACAGACGATGTAAGCTAAATGCAAATTAAACTAGGCAGCTCCGAGACGCATCACGTTACTTGTAAGAAAAAACATTATCAAGTTAATGGTTAATTATTAATCACGGAAATATAAAAACAAGTCCTTTATAAAGATCAATCCGACGACGCTACCGAATTACATTTATAATCTCATAAAATCGAAAATAAATAAATTTCTTATTAGTATAAACAACAAAGCAATTTTTCCCTCTAAAAATAACTATCCATAAATAACTGCCCTTTACAACTTTCCGGTGGTAGTTACGAACGCAAAACTACGACAAAATAACGTTTTAAGTAATCACCACGTCAAATTGCAAGTTAAACAAGAATTATTCGCCACAACAGACCCAGTCGAACGATACGGATAGTCATAAGTTACAAAGTTCAAAAAAAACTAACTTACCACTGACGAATCCCATCCTATCGATCGCCAGCGCTTCCGAAGTATCTCGTCCGTAGGAATTATCTTTAAAAAAGAAAATATATATATATAATGTAAGATTAGGTAAACATAATTACATTTTAAATTATAAGTTATATTTAATAAATTGGATTTAATTCCGTTTGGAGAAGTTTCCGGCCGGCAGTAACACCGAGCGAGACAGAGACGATAATGGTGGTTTGGTTTAAGGAGTTTGAAAGTAAATTGCATTTCGCACGACTTACCGACTGCCGAACGATCATTCAAGCTTTCTCGTTTTCCACAAAACTGCAATACTTTGCTGACGACGGTAACCACGGCGTTTTTTGCCATGTCATTTCGACTACACCCGACGCTCTTAAGTTTTCGTATAAGAGAGAAGCAAAAAATAACTTTTTTCTCAAACAGATTTAGACTAGACTCGACTTCTATTTTTCTTCTCGTCTGTCACTCTGCCAATCTTATTTTACGGTCGTTTTATTTTACCCCGACGACTCGAGCTGCAGGTGAATGTATCGAGGGGCAAACCCAGTGATTCACCCGGACGGAACTTTTACGCGAACGTCTTTCCACTTATAGCAAAGAAGGACGTCGGATAAAACGTTTTATGAGCTACGACGCGCAGACTTTTTTTTTAACTCGACTACTATTAATTCGACTGATGGAATATGTCCCGTTATCAATGTTCTTCTAATGTTTCGCATTCCGTTATTGCGTGTAATTTATTTTAAAACTGATAAAATTTAATTCGTTAATTTATATGATTAAAAGCACTTTCCGCTATCGTCTTAAGTCATTAATTTAAATATTATTTCATAGATTTAAAAAACTTTTTTACAAACTACAGATTCCTTTTAGAATTTTATGCTACAATCATTTTATATTAAAAGGCCGTACAAATGTTCCGACATTTTTTAATTATATAATTAAGCCTGGTGTTTAATATAAAATAATTCGGGAATTTACGTTTACTTAAAAAAGGAGGAAGAAAACGTTGGCTACAAATTACGGTTTCTTTTTCGCAAGAATAGTAACTGTTTCAAAACATTTAAAGTAAGTATAGCTCGTTTGGAACGTTCACTTTCCGAAGGTCTCGAATGTAGGCCCAAACATATATTTTTAACATCTCGCCCACGTTTACAAATATCGAGTAAAAAAACAACTCTGCGTAAGCGTAACACTATTATACTAAAAACAATAAGAAAACCGTTTTAAATGAAATATTTATTGATAATTTATCGATATACAATAAATCCCAGCTAACTCGGATGATAGATGATGAAAATTTTGAGAGTTCGCGAAAGTCCGACGACGTGGAAAACGAGAAGGATATATAGTAATTTATTACAATCGGCTCTGTGCAGAAGTTTACCGAGCTTTAGTAGTTTCTACTGCCGAATTTATGGGAAACGAGTTCAAATTTTTCGTGACGATATATTATGCGGCAATGTACTGTAAAGACTTGCCGAGTAGTTATACAGTATAATGCACGATATCGAAAACACTCTTTAATTATAATGTTTTCTACGGTCGAGGAATTTTAAATTACTGTACAATTTTTCGAAAAAGTTTATCCGAGTTGGCGGGAGTTTACTGTATTTTTCGATTTAAACAAATGTTATTACTGTACGCAGTAAAATATTCTCAGAATAAATTTATTTTTACCGTAAGAGTTTGCCCCTTATTTCGAAATTAAATTTTGAACTATCAATGACTAATAACGAAAATTCTACCGAAACGTAGATTGCTTTTAGCTGGCAAAAAGATTTCCATTGACTACTCGTGTAAATTAGCAATAGACGGTTTGCGAACTCTCGAATAAACTAAGCATTAAAACTACACTTTTTAGACCTTATTTCGAGAAATAATGAAGTAGAATCGCGTAATTATATATTCTTTAATCCGATATTCTAGATTTTAAAACTCGATTATTAATTATTATTATTATTATAGAGCTTGAAAGTTAAAATGTACTTAAGATTCGAATGTAATGTTCCGTTTGACCTTTTAAGTGCTCGAGTAAGGTCAAAGTCTCGAAGCATGCCAATCCGATTTAAAAAATATGCTCAAATGTTTATAAATAATTCCGAAAATAATGTCGCGAGACGGATTTCTTTCGGTGTCCCTAAAATCTCTCGACCGTGTCTAGATTCTTGCGATATTATTTAATTAAAAACAGTTGCGAGATAGAATTTGAGACGTTTCTGGTTTTGGAAGTGTACGGAGATATCAAAGATGGTGATTTGCTACAAATAGACAACGAAGCATACGAGATTTCTTAAATGTGTTCACGTTAATACGTTATTGAATAAAACAGTAGAGTCGAATATTTAAGAAATTAATTTTTTTTTATATAAAATTATATTTAATATTCAAAATTTCTGTAATCTAGAACAGTATATTAATAAAATTACGTAAGAAACAAATTTAATTACAAAATAATTAAAACTCTGATAATTAAGAAATGAATGAAATGTTTACGTCGCAAGTTTCATTCATTCTTCATTCTTTTGATTTTCATTGTTTACTACATCCCCGTTTAAGGTGTAAAAATTCGTTTATCATTTTGCATCTATCAATATAAATAGCACAATATTTAGTTTTTAACGTTATAAAAGAGATATTTTATATATAATATACAGGTATACCTCGCCTTACGTCGGTAATTGGTTCCAGCAGAACGACTTAAGTCGAATTTACTTGTCTCCGAATCTACTTGTCACTAGGCTAAACCATAAATTACCATTTCCCGTTCTGTATTTTATTTATTTATGCATTTTTAATAATATATGGTTAATAAGGATCTATTTTAAGCTTACAAACAAATAAATTTTAGTTTTTAATATAGTACAGAAAAAAGTAATCTAAATTTACGAATGTATGTACTGTAAATATATTATATACTTGTAAATGTATATATTATAATATGATTTTATGTGCTTTAAACATTTTTCTAGTGATATTACGACTTCAGTATTTGTGGCGGACGGACGTAAAGTCGAATAAAATGACTTAAATTTGATTTTTATTTTTCCATATATTTTTTTGACAAACGACGTATAATCGGGAACGACGTAACTCGAAACGACGAAAGTCGAGGTATACCTGTATTACCAAAATTATTTTAGGGAATATTAACCATCAAATTCTGTTTTCGATTTAAGTTATAATCTATAAAATATCAATTTCGTCACTATTCGAGAGATGAGATCGCTAGCATCAAAGTTATAAAAAAAGAAAGAAAAATGTTAACAGAGTACATAAAATTTCAACGATTATCGAAGAATCGAAACCAAATGTATACAGCGTTTTATCACAAATATAATTTTTTAAATTTTGCATATGCGTTTCGAATGTATTTTAAAAACTCTTAAATTAATATTTTCAGTAGAAGTACGAAACGAATTAAATGAAAAGCGGATAAAATTATAGGATAAATTTACGGAAGTTTTGCACGTCTAGCACGATGAATGCGATCCAATATGAAACTTAAAAAAAATTTATTCGTGAAAAAACCGCGTTACGAAAAATTTTCCTAAATTAGATTTTCCATACGTTCTTACACGATTTAAACTTAAGTTGTTCAGTTTCGAAGTTAATTCTAATCGCTTTTTCTCTAAATTTTCACGGGACGATTAATTCTTACGTAGTCACGTCAAAGTTAACCCGATTTTTGAGCATAGGAGACATCGAAGTCATATTAAAAAAACTTTTAATGTTATCGCACTGACTAATTTTAACTTGTTTTATCGCTATGAATTTTTTGGGCTGCATAACGCCCATTTTGTTAGTAATTGTAAGGGTTTATATATTTTAAATTATAAAGTATTTTCAATCGTTTTAACACGTTAAATTTTTTCTAATGTAGAGAGAAAAAAAGCGTGCTACGTGCATTGTGGGGAAATGCAGTATCTTTTAAAACTGATAAAAAATTTAAAGTAAAATCAAGAAAACCTAAAATCCTATTTTTTATTTCTAGAAAATAATTGGAAAAATTGGCTTCCGTAATTTTACTAAAATTCCATTGTTATCTATCACAAAATATTTATATTGCTGTTTAATTCATAAAATAGTCATTTGCGGAATATCATACAATTAAGTCGAATGGAAAATTTTCGGATTTTTGCATAATTTCTTCAAAAACTTGTATTTTCTATATTAAAAAGCTTCTTGACTGTATTATTTAATTACAAAAACTAATGAACAGGCTTATTACACACCCAGCCTATTTTATTTAATTAACTTATCCAAAATGCATTTTTTTAAATACTGTACGTTAATTAAATAGGCTGAGGGTGGGCAAACGACAGACTCCGCCACAAGCCGGTTGGAGTATTTTTCGTTGCATCTCGTGGCATGCTACAAAATGGATTTCGAAATAAAGCTAGGGGACTCCGTAGGCGACGCGTGCCACCGACATGAGGAATGAATGAGGACTACCTGCTCCATGGCAGAGCAGGCTAAAGAAGCTAGTCTAACAACAACAACCTCTTCCTCTTCGATTCTTCACACTCGATATCGAAACAATGACTGGCCGAAGCCTAGAATTGGTCGATATCCTGAAAAACCGTCATATCGCTATAGACTGTCTGCACAGGAAACAAAATGGAAAGGCTCCAAATCAAAGGATATTGGCAAAGGATACAAATTAATCTATCATGGCCAAAGTATAAAACGTAATGGAATCACAATAGCAGTCAACTAGAGATTCTGGGACCGTGTTAACTGCTGTCAGTGGAGTCTCTGATCGTATAGTATTTATTACACTCAGCTGACTCGATTGTCATGCATGTCATCTCGTATTATGCCCCACAAACTGGATGCCATGATGCAGAGAAAGATGATTTCTGAGTCAGACTTGACGGGCATCTCCAGACATTTGCTCCAGACGTCCTAATCGATGGTGACCTAAATGGGCACAATGTCATTTCGTTCACCAAGGGACTTGATGAACAAAATGAGGATGGCTGCAGCACCTTGGATTTCGCCAAAGCCCATGACTTTGCTGTTGCCAACACATTCTTCAAAAAGAGGCCCACACACCTAGCCACTTACATCAGTGGAGACCATGCAACTTAAATCGATTACTGGCCAATCAAATGCTGAGATCTGAAGCTCGCAATAAATGCCAGAGTGATCCCATCTGACGACATTGGTCCCCAACATCGCCCACTCATTCTGGACTTTCGAGTCACCCAGCCTCAAAAAGTGAAGGTCCAAATAACCAGACCCAAACGGATCAAGTTGTGGAAATTGAGCAAATGTGAACACAAACAACAATTGACTGCCAAGTTGACCAGTTTTGTTGTGAATCCTGACCAGCCTGTGGATTCACTCTGGAGTGAAATACTGTAGTAGAACAGATCTAGGGTGCTGCAGCAGTTATTTTAGGGAAAATCAAACCAGGGCATAAATTTATTGACAAACAGACCTGGTGGTGGAACAAGGAGGTTCAGGCAGCTACCAAAACAAAAAAGTCTGCCTTCAAGGCTTGGAGGAATACATGGCTTGATACTGATCTCCAATACTACAAAACCATGAAGTCAGTAGCAAAACAAGCAGTGGCCATAGCAAAAGAACACCACTACCAGCAGCTTTATGCTCAATTGAACATGCCAGAAGGCACTAACCAAATTTACTGCCTTGCAAAAGCCCACCACAAAGCAACTGAAGACATCGGCCAAGTCATGCAAATCAAAAATAGTCACAAACAAATCCTGCGAAATCTGCAGGATATCCAACACTGAGAGTCTGAGTATTTTGCAGGCATATGCAATGAGAAGTTCTCCTACTCAC